CTGTAGGCTCTCTTCATAATGATCCTGCTACTCAATCTGACAATCGGATATGAATCAGGAAAGCGCCGTAATAGGAGATGCAGAGCATAGTGTTCCCGCGACACCGAATGGAGTAAGGGAAGAGAGGGCGATTAACGGGCAGAAAGTGGGAACAGTAAGAGAAACTATGGTTTTCCATCGATACACCACTGATTTCTGAACTTCAGGTGCCCGTCGTATCACTCCCTAGCAAGAAGAAGGCCCTAAACGGAATTGATACGTCTCAAGTAAGTCCCAGATCGGTGGCTCAAAAAGTACAGCCTGATGAATGATATAAGGCCCCCAACCTTAATCATGAACGCATAAACCATGGCGATATTACTGGTGATTTGGCCAGTAGTTCATTGGAGGGGCCATTAATTAAAGTGCAATCGGATGACCGGAGGAGCTCTCTAAGCTCGGGGGGAGAAACTAATCATAACGGTTCCATGGTAGACCCACTTTCGAGCCATTCATATACACTTGCCCTATTGATATTTACATTGCAGGTGTTCGCAGATAAATCGCCTCCCTCAAGGAGGACAACGGTAAAAGAGAATGAGAATACCACAGTACGTTTTATTCCTCTTGTTCAACCTTATCGAACCTAAAAAAACTCCCAAGATGCCCGAATTCAGTCAGGATGGAGCAAACCACCGCAATTTTAACCCGAATCGCACCAACAGCACACCGACGGAATCATTCAATAGACAGGACAACACACAACGGCCTAAAGAGGAGCGGAAAAACTCCGCAAATTCAGGCTTCGGGAATAAGATGACCAGCAACGTGGTATGTACACCTAATCATTCATTCAAGATTCGGTAGATTAAACTTCTGTGTTGTAGCCATTCGAGAAGCCACTTATTGAGGATGAAGATTTGCCGAATGAGATTAAGCTTGCACCTCCTGTACGTCTTGCCAACCCATCGACACCTTGAATGCGTGTTCATGTCTCTCTCCATCCGACTAGGAAAATGTAAAACAGAACGACCATACCAAGCCAACGTTAACTGAAGAACGTCGAAACCCGTTCTATAAAAAGTGGGAGAACAACAGGAAGAACTCGTCGGAAGCTCCGGAAAACAAGCAGAACCCGACGGTAAACCACGTTTATTGATCTTCCGACATTTGTAGACTCAATTTCGTATCATAGACACCCGACCGAGCGTTTCATAATGCTGGAACGGCGAACGAAACCGCAGACCGGCCTCCCGTACGTTCTTGTCCTACCATATACTTGCAGGAAATAACCATTGTTTGTAGACCCTTCAGATGAATGGAGGTAGCGACAAACTCAACGGTCGCACGTTTTACAGTCAGGACAACAACTCTCGCAGGTCTTCGTCCCCCAAGCCGGCCAGCACAGTCTCAAATTCTCACGAACGACGGCCTCAAACGAGTCGAGGAAGCGGTTCTACAGATGCCAATCTGAACAATCAAGATAATGGTTCGGGGAAATCGCTATCCCACCCGCCCGTCAACACTACACTTGTTCCCAATGACCGAAGCGGCACGTCAAAGGATCAATTATACAGCCAGGACAATACCTCCCGCAAGTCATTACCTCACAAACCAGTCAGGACGTTAGTACCCCCAAACCAAGAGCAGCAGGTCGTTGGCGATATTTTCCGGGATATAGACCCTTCAATCTTGCACCTCGGCGAACCTTCAAACCCTAAGGATCTCGATCACGAAGCTCTTGTAGGTCTACTCAGAAAAAGCTTTTTTCCCTAATCTGATCAGCACAAATATCCAACAGGGAATTCGAAATCTGGTTGATACTAATCAGGCGGAAGCTCCTTCTTTTGCGAAACCGGCACCGCACAAAGCACGCAAACGGGCTAAGGTTGTTAGGAAACCCGTCGCGACAGAAGTCAGCGAGAGTGAACCGACGGTAAACTAGCTTTACGATCATTTCTTTACCTGTTTATTGGGTGCTAAACTTTCATCAGACGTCGGATCAAGATCAACCTCCCGTTCCTTCGAAAGCCGGAGTTAATGCGACAGTACGTTCATCTTCCTCGTGTCTCAAAAAACCATTAAATCATACGTTTTCATTTATTAAGTCCGGCCTGGGTAGTTCTGAACAGGCGAAAAATAATCCACCCAAAGATATTAAGGGATCCAACCTAAGTGACCGCACTATCGGAACACCCAGAGACGACGGAAAAGCCCAGCAGAACGATGAAGCAAGCAAGCAGGAAGCTGGTTTCACGTTCGATGAGATTGTATTACCCACATTCAACAATGTTCGTCAGTCGGTTGATGGAACGTTTAAAGGAACCGCTGTAGTAGTACGTGCCAGTCCTTTATAAATCTACTCCTGAAACTTATCTGAATTCCAGGATTCGGAACTCCCTAGTACGAAGCGAAAGGATGACAAGCACACCATCGAAGACCTCGAATCTCTCCACCCACCACCCCTTCACCGAAAGATGACTGCTGAAAACGGAAGGAACCAAGCTGGCGTAGTCTATAGTGAGGCTACTCAGCAGGAGACATCTGGAATACCCCTCCTTCGATTTGAAGCATCCCCACAGGTGAGCCATCAACCGCAGGTAGGTTCTTCTGATATCAATGACTACAATTGTACTGAACAAAATACAGACTTTCGAAATTAACCAAGAAAACGGGACCTCGAACGGTACTACCGCTCATCCAAAGTTCAACGCTTCACGAAGGTCCACGTCTAGCAAACGGGGTAGCGCAGACCCTGAAGTGAACGGAGTCCAGAACTTGGTGGAATCGGTCGAAGTTCATAAAAATAACAACCCGGTATTCAATCTCTTAATCACTTATTGAGCATCATCATGATGAATTAATTTCTGTTATGCAGGGGCCGGGCGATCCGCCTCCGAAAGAAGACGTTTTCGAGACTCAGCAGCGAAGCGCGGATCCGAGTGGTGCTGAACGTAATTTGGCGGAAGCACCTTCGACTACAAACCCATCCAAAGCGCCGAGTGGTGTTGATGAAACGCATGTTGACGTAAGGAAAGACGAAGTTCGTGGCCAGGAATCAAACATACCAGAACCTCCCGAGCCTCCGACGTCCAAAGCGATTGCTTTCCAACTCGCCGAATCTGAAAAAACGTGGCCGTTGAAGGAGGACAATAGACCGGATGCCGTACGTACTTTTTTGTTTCTGATCATCCCCAAATTTTTCAAGATGATTTTTAGTCCGTGAAAAGGAGTTTTACTATCTCGAGTACCACCGACGACGAACCGGTATTTCCTTTCGATGAACAATCTGTAGCGTGAATAAGACTCATCTTCCCCCAAGGTACCCCATCCAGCTGAAAAGAAGGTAGGATATCACGCCTGCCAAGGTCTCAATTTTATCTCTGAGATTCGTTCGCAGGAGGACACATCGCTTGAGGCACCAACCACAGAGCTAGAGGTGAGTCTCAGATTTCCCAGTGAAACTCAACACCTCGGCTTATCTCTACAAGAACGATGCTCTTGAAAAAACCCCGATACAAAATTGTGAAGACGCCGATTCTAGTCCCAAGGTAGCATTGGTTCACTCACGGTGGGTACCAAGAGGTTCACTAAATGATGATATATTCCAGACGATCACAGATAGTCCTACAGAGGTAAGTATTCAAGCAGGTGTTTCAACCCTCTTCGGATGCTCACATCATAAATTGTCAGTACTCACCGAATAGTACGGACGTACACACTAATAGGGACGGTGCCGGCGAAAGTGCCTCAACTTCTCAGGTTGGTGTGTTTAATACTTCTTGCGACTGTTTGGTCAAGAGTGAACTGTGCCGTCTACAGGGAAGTTCATCTGATACGAACTCCTCGGACAACCGATCGGTAAGTCAGCCGCCTTGCTTCAGAGGTTATTGTACCTAGTTTCATTGAATTCAGGGTGAACGTCGCAGTAGCGAAGGCCAAAAATCGGACACGGTAAGCACCGAGAGTCTAATTCCGTTATTCTTGAGCGATTGTCAACTTTCCGTCCGCAGAACAAAACGCCTTACGGACAACCGGAGTCCGGTTCTCGGAAGGAGAGCAACATGCCAAACGCAAACGCAACATCAACCGATCGGAATGATGGAACCCACTCAAAAGGATGTTGCTGCATTGTTTGTTGAGCTGGAAAGAGCCTGGACGGTGGCGGAGCACACTGGATATTTAACTTGATAAGAAAGGACTCCGGGACACCTCAGTTCCATTGATTACAAGCCTTTAATTTTCTGTAGTTGTACCATTGATCAACTTTCCGGACTCACAGGATCTTGACGGTTCAAAATATTGTAACTCTTTATTCTATATAGACATTCATCTCTTGAAAGCCCGCCGTTCGATTAATACGTTTTACAATGATGTATAAGTGAAGGAGAATGAACGTTTTTGCGTGTTCGCATTTTGATGCTGGCTTTTTGTCCTTGTCGAATTTTATAATTTCTACCCGTTCATTCCTACGTTTTTTGCAGCTCCACTGAATTTGATGCATCCATTTGACGGTCCTCCCTAACACGAATTAGTCTTAGGTGAGTGCTTCAGTTCTGTGGACTGGTTGCGTACACTTCGTTCCCCCCCCCCCGAGAAAATATAATGCACTTCAGCTCTGTACCTTCCAGCTCGGAAGCCATCCAGACAATCATTTTGTTGTTATAACCCCCACCGGCGAGAGTGAATTTGGGGATTTGGGGGAGATATACGGATTGTGTGCACAATAAGACTGAAGGAGGGTCTAGACTCTGGACCTTCTACGGGTCACAATTATATACACAAACTACACGTTATCGGATACCAGACCGACTAGTAGTAAGTCAGAGAAATAAACTTAGACCACGTATCGCCAGAACCGCTCATATACCATCGATTATTTCGGCCAGATTTGTTAGGCACGGGAAGTATCGGAATACGTTTCATGGTATTTCTGTGTATCTTTGAATGTTTCACAACAAACATGAAAAGCTTGTAGGTTTTTGTTCAATTGAAAAAAAGACGAGGAGCATGACTTGTTATTCCATTACAGGGAATCGAACCCTGAGCTATCGGGTACATACCGTTTACACTTATGACAGGCGATAACGTTAACCATTACATCTTAACGGAGTTAGAAAGAGGGCAAACGAAGCTCTACATGAGCACAAACGTATGTAAACAGCACTCGGCCATTTATTACTCGCATAAATGATCCCTCTCGTGCTTCAACGGAACCGCACAGCATGCTAGCGACGTGGCTTTGTTAGCTCTTCTGTGCAGCTATGATTCGGATTAATAAGACGGTGAGAGAAATGAAAATGACTGGACTGATGGGAGGGCTGATATTGTCGAACTTTAATTCCTGTCTACAGTTCATTCTTTGGTAGACCAGTGAATCGGAACAAAGCAGCCATACGGATCAATGTAACCGTAAAAGTGGCTCAAGATCGTTGGTAATTTACGCCCGGGCTGCGAAATCGATATCGCTCGTGTATGAACAGGCGTCGGACTGTTGAGTGTCAATTCAACTTGGAAAAAATACAAAAAAGGTGGAATATGAAATACGAGCTGCCTCGCTGTTTGCCTCCCTCTTCCACTCGCTTCATAGTCTCCTTTGAACTTCCAACATCGACAGTACAAGAATGGGCGTCCGTGAAACCGAAGATTTGACTTATATCCATGACATTTAGCCCTTGGTCGCTAGAAAATCGAAAGCTGAAGTCCGAGTCCGACCACGATGCGTGGAGCTCCAACTTCATTTGCCGAATGATGTAAACGACCAGTAGTTCCCGTCATTTTGCAAGGTAACTGGTGTACAGTTGGGCCTTCTCACTTCGAAGTCCCATACTACACTTTGTCGCAAATCTCGCTCTTCACTGTTCGATGCGTATATAGACCCGATAAAGACTCCGATGCCCCGATACCTCAAAGAGTTCTCTAACCAACATACCGTTAGTCCCAGTTTTGACCCTGTCTTTTTCTCGTTTTCCCTGACATTTCTCTCGTAGTAAGTTAAGGGTTATTTGTCTCGTCTGTAGGCCCCAGACACAATGATGTGCAAGGTCGATTGGGGTTACATCCCTCACAACCGCGACCAAAGGTACGAAAATAACAACACCGAAGGCTTGAAGGTACGAACAGTTGCGAAGGTACGAGATCCAGTCCTGGGAACTTAATTATGCCGCTTCCTCCGAAATTTCGTAACCGGTGACGTGTTTCTCCTTTCCGACGTCCATCTTCTCCCTTACAAACTCGAATAAACCACACGTCGCTATCCAGGTTCAAGGTCTCTTCACCAGCGGGTAGTTCTTCCACTCACAGTGCGCTGCCATTATTTAAGTTGACGAACGATTGATTTTCCCCTCGTAGTTCATGACCTCGTTCTTTGTCGAGTTGGGCAACAACATGAACAACCTTGAGTTGATGAAGGGGAGGAATACCACCTCACGGTAATCTTTCTTTGCACTGGGTCGAGTTCTCGCGGGATATGGATTGGCGGGACGAACGAAACAGATTTCACAATAGATGGTCTACGGCGGAGGGCCCAATTTTCCATTACAGGCCCTCTTCGATACTGTATAGCTCCTGTCGGATTATGGGGTAACGTGGTTGTCTCCCCGATAAAAGAAGCGTCTGGGAAAGGATAAAGTTTTGAAGGGAATGTCGGTATGCAACCTGACTCTGAACTATTTCTCAGCTTACGTTCATCTCTTCCGCAGAGCTTCTGAGTATAAAGGATGGAACTCTTCCTCGCGTGAAGCTGAGAGGCTGGTTCGCTTTTTGTAGAAAGCACTGTCCGGTTTTCAGATAAGGAAGCCTTCGAATCGCGTTTATTTCAGAACACACATGCATCAATAGCTAGTGGATACAATCTGGTTTCGTCGGACACGGTGAGTGGTTGACTGATCTCATCTGGTATGATTGACTTTGCCTCATTCTTTAGCTCTCACTCAGAAAGGATTCGGTTCCCGCCGTCAAACGAAATCGCGCCCAAAGGTTCCGGTGAGACTTCGTCGTTGTTCTCAATTCCCTCGGCTCAATTTTCCGTCGTTACAGTGCAGATAAAACGTGATGATTTTCCTCAACTTGTCGTTTTCAAAGGAAGAGATCGCGATGTGGATGACGGTTTTAGAGGTTGTAAACGACGGAACCATCGCCGTCGTTATGGGATAGAGAACGGTGAAAGAACATGGAGTTTTTCGCAACGGGCACGATCCGAACTATGGGCAGATGGTTTTCAGAGTTCTTGAGGTGGCGTTTCACAGGGCTCGGTAAGCCTTGGGCTATTGATTTGATTGTTATTCTAACGGCATTGCAGGTCATGGTTGCCGAAGAGCATCCCGTTCTTCATGAGGGATCATGTTCTCCCTCATCATATTGTCCCCGAGTATCCAATGGATCATGTAACGGATTGAGGGAAAGGTGATGCTCGCAGTTGGAGAGGGTTAGAGGATTATTCTTTGCCCACGCGGTACGGTGAACCTCTCCCTGTCACGTCTTTGTTTTTAGATGATGTACTTATTATAGGGCAATATCTATCTAGGACAACGGGATGGATCTTGTCAGAATCCTTTTTCGGCGGAAACCCAATAACCTGTTTCGAAAAACTGAGGTTTCATCATTTGATCAGTGTGGGACGGACCGTGGGGGGCGAATGCCAGCGGTATGGCTCTTTGGAGTCTGACCGGGATCCTTCCTGGAGTAAGCTCCGTTCCTTATCAATATTGAATGTAAGCAAACCGGAACAACGTAGTGAAGGGTAGAATCCGGATCTCTTGGAGCTCCAAGAGGCGTGGGTTTAGGATTACAGCTACTGAGTGCTGGAGGTGTTGCTTTAGGAAACCTTCGGTGAGCCGTCTGTCGCTTCGGATTTGAATAATGGAGATTCAGTGGGGTTTGGTGTTAGCCGCCACAGCCTTCAAGTTGGCTGTGTCCATCTGGTTGAAGATCTGCTTTGAAGACCTCATTGACATTTACAACCCGAATGTTCTTGGAGCCTCGTCCCGTCCATTCCCGAACGTTCCTTTACTCTATGATTAGACCTCAGCGACGTCATGAGAGCTAGGGCGAATGGCAGTGTTATTGTGACTGCACCAGACCGTGACATCTCGCGATTCTTCGTCGACCCGCGATCGACGCGTTTTTAACGTCATACTGACGTCACGAAGAAACCTTTTCACCTCCTGTCGAACCCAAACAAGAACCAAATAACACGCCAGAAGATATATAAACCATCCTTCTTCGTCCTTCAACCTCAGTTACTTTTTAACCCACAACAACCACAACCACCACTTCATCTTTCACTCTTACAACCAAATTTCTTAACAACATGTCATCCAACGAGCCCAAGTACCCGTTTTCTCCATTCTGTTCGTCCTTTATCGAGCTGATCGCCTTTCCTCGTACAGTAAGACCTCTGGTCAATTCCACTCTACCAAGGGCAACATTGTCGAAGCTGTACGTAGTTATGACTGGCCGTTCCTCATCCACACTCAACTGACTACCTAATCTTCAGATCGGCAACGTTACCGGCCTCGAAAGCTGGCAACGCAGCGGTAAAGAAGAACATGCCCAAGGCGAGGCTGAATACAAGGCTGCCCAAGCTAAAGGATACGCAGAGGGCATGGGCGATCGTGCTGAGGGATACAAAGATTCCGTCGTTGGTGCTATTACGGGCGATAAAGCACAGCAAGCTTCTGGTATATCTCGTTTCCAGTCTTTTCTCGGCGTCATTTGTTGCTAATTGTCGTCCGACACTTTTTGCAGGTAACGTCCAGAACGAGAAGGGAAAGGCTCAGACTGAAGCGAACAAGCCTTAATTTTGAAGAAGGATGAAGATGACCGAACTTGAACTTTGACATGTATTACGATCCGTTCTCTGATTCTGTCTTTGGTCTATGGTATACATTAGAGCTGTTTGTATTGGTTATGTATTCGAAGATAATTTTGGCAGTTGAAGTATTGATAGTATACAGTTCGCTCCGAGGGACTGGATTGTTCTTCATTCCTGACTGATAACTATCCGTGGGCTTCTGTTAATCCTGCTTTTTGTGGACGGCGTGCCCAGGGACACCCACGATAGGTCTGTGGAAATCCCGCCAGTACTGGCGTTTTTTCAAGTTTGAAAGAAAACGAAAACGGAGAAGATTACTTTAGCATCGATATTAGTCTCACCAGATCGAATTTATTTTGGTCCAAAAAGCCCCGGACCTAGTTCGCCCAGATTGGCTATCAAATCAAACCCGTTCATGGCCAAAGTGTTTGCCCCGTGCGACATATGTTTGGTGTTTGGAAAGTAGCTAGATCTGGAGAACTGAAACGTTTGTGATTATGATATACTTAGAGTACCGGCACTCAATGTGTATGGATTTTCCGGCCGAAACCTTGCTGTATTTACACACGAAGAAAGGAAGATTAATTCAGAAACTAGTCGGTTTGTGTAAATGTGCTGAATAAGGAAGTGTCGGATAGTTGTTCTTTCGAGGAATGAATTGGGACTTACACCAAAAAAGAGTCGGGGAATAGGAAGTTGGAATTGTGATCTTGACAGTGGACAGACTGAGAAATTTAATCCGCAGGAGCTTGAATCAAGTTCCACAATAGCTCCCCTCAGGAGAAGGCCCGAGAAGATGGCAGGGAGCCGCAGCAAAATCCCGGCACGGGCCACGGAAACAACGCACTGGGTTGGTTTTTCCTGCCGAATTGTTCCCTTTTATGTAAGATTTATTCGTCGGAACGGCCTGATATGATCTCTTCTAATCCTGCGCATCTTTTATTTTTCCTGATTCAGCCTTATCTGTCATCCGTCATTTCTTTTTGATGGAATCGGCTCGTCCCTGTCATGCAAGGTGTACATGATATGCGTAGACCAAAACTGAATTGAACCAACGCAGTTTTTTTGAACTATTTGGACCTCACATGACAGCGAAATGCCCGAAGCGTGTATTCGTCGGATGTGACCCGATTCAATGTAATTGCAATGAATTCTTACCCGTGAATTTAATGGAGAATCCAATACGACAAATCTATATAAATTACAATTGAGGCCTTTGCTCCAGCATCTTCAAAGCATGAATAATCTCGGCCATCATATCCCAGCGCCCGAAAATCTATTAATTTGCTCAAAGTTA